TCGGAATTCGATTCCGGGCATACGCCCAAGTCCTATATTTTCCTACGAACCCTCGGGGACTGTCAAATCACGGATCTTCATCCGTTTACCCAAAATGTTGATCGAAGTCAAATCAATCCATTTTAAAGTCAAAATTCATCATTTTTCATAGATTTTCATATATTGGCTTTATGGCTACGCGTCCGAACTGCGCATGCAAATTGAGGTGATGCTGAAAGATGTTTTTAAGGCCTCGAAATGTATAATTCATTTCTAGAAAAAGTGATGACCTTTTGAGTCATCACAATATTGAATATCATATATATATAATGACAAGGTCCCTTTTATATAGGAGGGGTAACCCCAATACGGTACATATGCATTTATTACAAAGATTTATAGCTGGTACAGCTATTTAATGTCATGGTTCGGACTTGTGCCGTTCTTATAGACCTGGTCTATCCTAATAACGTGCCTTGGGAATCCCCCGCTTATCCATGATAGTCGCCGATTTGTACTGTCCCGAGGTTGAGCATAGGGAACCCTCGGGGTTGAACCTCGAGCTGTGCCTCGGGCCTTTTGAGGACGAACTATGAAATGCAATAATTGTCGTAAAATTGGGCTCTCTGATTTTAGTCGTATACAGGTAGTCCCCATGATTCTTAGAAAAAAATGATATGAAACGACTTAGACATCAACTTCCTCGAGCCTCTTAGATGTTGTTTTTTGCTTATTTGTTTATGTGTAAGGAACCCTCGTGGGCTTTTGTAATCGTCGCTTATTAACACAACAGTTTCTTCAATTTGCTTTTGTCTTGTGCTGGATTCCCTTTTGCAAGTGTTTGCGAACAATCCAACCGTGTGACTTTATTGATCGATCCGAATACTAGACTCGGACATAGGAATTCCTTTGGTTCTCGATTGGTTTAATACTATATTCCCTAAAACACTTTGCCATTCCTCGAACTAAGTCTGGATTGATTTGATACAAACATAGGTCGTATGGACTTCCGAGTTTGAATTAAATGAGAGCGGGGCCTCGTATTTCTTCAAAATAAAGCTTAGCCCTTTTAGACACCGTTGATAGTCCCTGAGCAAAAGTTCGCTTGATCATCCGAAAACAAAGATAGCCCTTAGGCTTTTGTAAATAGTTACTAAGCGAGGATACACTCGAACTCGGGTGGCCCTTAGGATTAGTGATCAAGCGAGTGTTTCAACTCGAAATAAAGATAGCCTTGAGGATTTATTAATAATCCTCAGATGAGAACTGATACGGACTTAGGTAGCCCGAGGGCCAAAGAATCAGGTGAATGACCCGCATTTGTAATAGTAGAGATCCTCGAGATCGGGCACCATCTCGAGGCTTGGTTGATATGGGAATCTGTGACCCCTCGAACGTTGTACGACAACGTCATTCGTATGACATGGCCACAAAGTGACCGAGGTCTCCCCACCGGAACACTTCTCCGAAAGTGATAATGGACTAGTCAGAATTAATTGGTCTTTAGAGTAGGCGGACAGTCACCGCTTGCTCTATATATGAGTTTTCTTTCCTCTTATTTGAGGATTTCATTGCTTTGAGCAACTATCCTTTTCATAGAGCTCTCCTTCCTTGCGTCAGCTCTTTCACCATTTTAATTTGAAGCTTTCGCCTAAGATCTTATTTCCCCTTTCTTGTTTCACCATAGTTATGGCTGCTACGCCCAAGCCCATTTATCAAGAAGAGGAGAGTTTCACCTCTGCTTCCCGCTCGATCTGTGGTACACCGCCGGCATCAGTTGAGCCAACCTCGAGATGTTTCGTTTCGAGGAGGGACTTTTTATTAGAGGGACCTTCCAATGTTCAAGGCCATTAGGAGCATGCATCGAAGTCCATTTCATCAATAGGAGAGGAACACCTCGAGGCAGTAAGGAGAGACTGCGGATGGGGAGAAAGGGTAGTACTGCAGATACTTTCCCCGGAAGCGAACATCATGGCTCATGTAGAGGGTTTTTTGAATGTATACACGTACCCTTTTACGTTGGTCCCTCTCGATAGAGTCTTGCTTGACTTCTGTCGAAGTTACCGGGATAACCTATCACAAGTTCATCCGTCGTTCTGGAGGATAGTATTGATGATGAGGTTCTTTGCGGAAAAGTCGGGCTCGAGTTCACCTTCGGCCATCTTATCAGGTTGTACTGACCCTAGCATTATCGAGGCTTGATTACTCTACGACATCGATCCACCCGGCCCTTTATTTTTATTAATGAAGAAGATGGGGATCGAGGGGGGATGAGTCGATTTGTCCAAGTGCGGACTATCAATATTATCCCTGTAGAGTTCCTGCCATTTCCTAAGAAATGGAATTTCACACGTAAGTGGTAAACTTGTGCTTTTATCAATTCGATCATAGTGGAGGTAGACTCCGTAAAGATGTTTTCCTCCCCTTCTTTACAACAATCTCGTGGCTGCCAAACGAGGTCCCCGGCCTGGCAGATTGGACTCAAAAACTGGCAGCTTGCTCGACCTACGATAAGCGTAAGTGGCAAGATCTATCTAAAGGCAGATGGGAGGTCAAACACCACGGTATGTGCTGTGTATTTTATTTCCTCTGAATTGTACTTTTTAAATACGTATTAACTTTGTTACCGTAGGTATTGGAGAATTTTCTAGGGTGAGATCGTGCCCCCTCGGAGAGGAGGAATGATCCTCGACCTCGGAGCTGAAGAATTATAACAAACGGAAGGAATCCTCTAAGGATGAGGGCACTCATAGCAAGGCAAGCCCTGCTCAGAGGCTCAAAGAAGATGTATCAGCCAAACCTGCAGCATCCGAGGCTTCTAGCCTCGGAAAAATGGTTCCTCCTTTGCCACCGCCTTCTTTTCCCATCGAAGGTACGTTGAGGGATAAAGATTTGCTGCCGCTATCTTCTTCTCCCGTCAAAGGTACTTCAAGGGATGTTCGAGGCCAGGGGCCGCCTAAATCAAGTGGGGTATTGGGCGACCATATCCCTATCGAGAGCGATTCAACTGGGCTCAATGAGACCAGGAGAGTAGGTGCACGCTCAACTTTTGGGGAGGCTCAGCGGCTCTGTTCTGCGATGAGTCTTGGTTGAATTTTTTGGTTTTTCAGTTTTGCATTTTCATTTTCTCACTGTGCTTCTTTTTCAAAGTACTTTCATAAGCTTAAGTCCGAGTTGCTCCGCAGTGAAGCCAGGTTGCGGAAAGCTTTGAACGGGGAGAAATCCATCAGGCTTCTTTGTGATAAAAGGGCAATGGAGTTGAGACATCTTTGGTTTGAGATGAATCAAATCCTGAACTATAAAGGCCACCTCAAGAAACATCTAACCTTTGTTTCGAGGTGATGCATGTTTTTTCTTCTACTCCTCAGAGATTAATAATTTGAAACTTCAATTGCAGAGAAAAACGGAGGACCTGGAATGCCTTTAGGGCTAAGTTGGTCAGGCCAAGTATGAGTGTAATGAGCTAAAGGCTCAGGCAGATGCCCAAGTTGCGTCTAAGAAGAATGCTTTGGCCAAGGCTTCTGCCCTTGAGGTGCAACTCCGGAATGCTCGTGAAAAAGCTCGGTCCAGACGAGCAGGATTGCAAGGATCGAGTCTGAACTTTTGAAAATAAAGGCCGAGGTCGTAGATGCTCGGGCTGAAGCCAAAGAGAATCGAGCTAAGGCTGATAAGAAAGTGGATGTCTATTTAAAAGACGCTGCTGACGCTCGAGCTGAGTTGAGAGGGGCTTCCGATCGGGAGAGTAGAAGCAATGGGTATGCCCGGTGCAAATCCAAGAGGGAAACCCTCGAGGAGATCCACGCTAGGGGCTTCGATCTCTCGGAAGAGATAGAGTAGGCCAAGGCGGATGAATATGATGCCAAGTTCCTCGTATCTGATGCCGAAGATGATGAGGAAGGGGCCGCAGTCCCCGAGAGGAAAGTAGACTAGGCTTTTTCTTTCTGATTCTGTGTATGATGCTCTTAAAGGACATTTATTAATGAAGTTTTGTATTTTTTCACATATACATATGAAAAGAAGCCTTCTAGTTTTCTCCTTTCATGAATTTCTCTAAGTTTGAGTATGTCTTTCTTTGTCTTGGATTTTGACGTTTGTCGATGATTAGCCAGGTGAACTGGACTTCGAGAAAATATTCTTAGGTTTACAAATCGGCCCTGAGGTTTGTTGGGCTGGCCCGTAGGCTCTTACGCGTAGGGTCGGTACGACCTATAATATAGGCTGGCACTTAGGCTCTTACGCGTTGGGTCGGTACGACCTTTAATATATGTTGGCGCTTAGGCTCTTATGTGTTAGGTCGGTACGACCATTAATATAGGTTGGCGCTTGGGCTCTTACGCGTTGGGTTGGTACAACCTCTAATGTAGGCTGGCGCATAGGCACGTACGTGTTGGCTCGGTACGATCTCTTATGTAGGCTAGCGCTTGGGCTCTTATGCATTGGGTCGGTACGACCTCTAATATAGGCTGGCGCTTGGGCTCTTATATGTTGGGTCGGCATGACCTCTAATGTAGGCTTTATTTTTTCCTCGTTAAAGACTTTTTGAAGTTTTTGTGTTCACCTGACTCTTCGACGGTTCGATAAGAACCTCGATTGCCAGCCGTTATGCATCTATGAATGAGCACCTCGGGAGGTTTCGCTCGGTTGCTGAATTGTTTCGAAGCATGTTATTTGGAGCTGACATGATAGAAGCTCTTTCGCTTATGCCACTATAAGAAAAAGCCTTATTTATGACCAACTTTTAAGGACAAGTTAATAATCTCGTCACAAAAAATATATTTATTGAGACAAGATAATATTGCGGTCCTTAGTACTATATTTTATTACGAAGGTAGAAAATACAGTCCCTAAAAAAAGTAGTAACTGGTCCCAAATTATAATTGAGGGACATTGAGCATGACAGTGTGCCGCCAAATCCAATACCAAAATATTAAAAACTATTATTTTGTGAAAAATCAGGCGCCAAAACTAATATATTGAAATAAATTTTTTAAAAAAGTCAAGAAACTCTTTGTATTCTAAAACACAAGTCGCGACCATAAGCTCTGCCCTAGTTTTCGTGTGCCAAGCTCCACCCCGTTTCCGCCAAGCTCTGCCCATCGCCTTTACTGTGTTTTCCCAAAACACAAGTTGTGAATCTGGTGGTGTGTGAATTTGCCCAAGTTTCCATCTCGCTCATTGAGAATCCGTGAAACTCTCTGTATTCTGAAACACAAGTCACGCCATAAGCTCAACCCTAGTTTCCGCCAAGCTCTGCCCGTCGCCTTTACTGTGTTTTCTCAAAACACAAGTTGTGAATCTGGTGGTGTGTGAATTTGCCCAAGTTTCCATATCGCTCGTTGAGAATCCGTGGTTTACCCCCTCTTTCAAGTTGTTCTTTTCGATGATTGCTTCGCTTATTCGAGTTCTTCGATCTTCTTTTCTTCTCTAACATAAAAAATTTGGTAAGGTTTCATATTTTGGTATTTTCTTTTTACAAAATCAGTGAAAAGATTATTGGGTTGGGATTCCTAGTTTGATAATTTAATTTTCTGAAGTTTATATAAAATTGTGATTCAGTATCCTCGGCAGCAGATTTTAATTGCCTTCTTTTACTTCATTGATGTGGGTTTCTGCCTTCGCCATGTGCTAACTAATCCTTGTAACTAGCAGTAATGTTTGTGTGCTATAGAAGAGTGCCTAAAGCACCTTCTTGAATTGCTAATTGTGTTTAGTGAAAAGCTGGTACATAAGTTGAGATGAAAAGCTCAGACAAAGAACTCTTATTAATCGCAATGAATGAGATGAATACCTGGTACATAAGTTGAACATTAGGCGTTTAGTTATATAGGTGACTTGTAGAAAAATATTGTGTAAAACATCTTTGTTCATTACTTGGATTGAGTGGCAATTTCAAATTACTGCAATTTTGGTGGTCTGGACTAGTGGATTCCATGCGCATTTGTTGTGATCAAATGGCTATTAGATATCTGACTCCTATGTTTTGTTTTCGAGTTTGGTATTGTTTGCTTGGATAGTTGCAATCCTAGTTGTATATCTCAGTGTTTTATGTTTCACTTTTGTTTGTTTGGATGTGTTCTAATTTGCTATGACATTGCTGAGTACAATGGTCAGGACACTTTATCCATATTGGTCCAAAATATCTGATCTTTTTTCTTAAATGGCAAAATTGTTTTTGCTCAGGCAATATTGTATTATTGTGATATCTCAAGTTTGATTTTACATGTATTCTTCTAATTGTTTCACTTTAGAATGTTTAATTGTGTCATCAAATATTTTTATATCAAATACTGGAGTACAATAATAAAATTAGGCCAAGGTAGGCTAATCTTAAAAAGACAACGAGAAAGAATTTAGTTTAAAATATGTTGGGTTTCATGAATGAGAATATGTAATAGCTTATTAATTGACCTACAATTGAGAAGTAGGTGATATTTTAATGTCAAGAGTGACTTTCATGTATTATACTATGTGATATTGAATGGTTATTTTGGATTGTCTATTTATCTCTGGTGTGATATGAATAACCGTGTAAAGGTATTCAATAGTTTAGTATCAAGCCATGAACATTCCTTAGCATGTTGCGTCTATTGTAAGGATCTTTACCCTCCCTTAAATGCATTATGATCAACTAAATTCGAAAGACGAGGGCTATCAATCAGTAGAGTCCAATTACATCGACCTGAATTTTGATCTGAGCACAATAATTTGATGTGGAATGAATCAGATTTAGGTCCTGTATTTGTACACCACTCAAATGAAAGAAGAGAGTATGTACCTTCATAAAATCCTGACATTGGAACACACTTTCTAGAAATAGTTGGAGAGCTCTAAGAACATTGTTACCTTTATGGTGAAAATGGAGTAATTTGTAGTGACTATTTATGTGGCATCACCACTATTTGTCTCTGGTGTGTAGTGAATAATTGTGTAAAGATATTCAACAGTTTAGTATCAAGCCATTAAAAATAAGTACTCTAGAGACATTCTTTAGCATCTTGAGACTATTCTTTCTCCATTCATACCAACTCTTGAGAATCCAGTTGTGTGCATTTGATCGTAACAAGTAGCGTGCATCGTAGTATTTTTCTTATTTTTTTATCTTTATTTAATTTAACTTTTATTTACTCTCCAAGGTTATGGCACCTAGTAAGCAATGGATGCAACTTGTTGATAATTGGCTCGATAAAGCCTATTTAATCGGAGTGCAAAAGTTTTTGGATTATGCTTTACAGAAAACGGGAGAAGAATATGAGATACGATGTCCATGTGTCAAATGTTGTAACACAACTTTAGGAACTCGTAAGACAGTTGAGACACATTTGCAAGTATACGGAATAATTCAAAATTATACTTTTTGGTATCATCACGGAGAAAATTTAGGTGAGCCACTGTCAGAATCGGAAGATAAAGATGGTGATGAACTAGAAGAATGTGAAAGTAAAGATGAAGTACAAGAACTGTTGAGAGATATGTATCCTAATATTGATGGAAGAGACGTGCATACTGATTGTGATAATTTAATTGAGGAGGAACCAAATATTGAAGCAAAAAGATTTTACAGGCTATTGAAAGATTTCGAACAGCCACTGTACCAAAATTCAAAAGCTTCAAAGCTTTTATCTTGTATAGTGTATCTTGGTAACCCTCGAAGATGCAGCTATAGAAGGTGGATAAATCTGCTCCATTCCGAACTGCAACCGCTTGGTGCTATGATTGCCGGTAATGATAGTCTGATTGATATCATCACCAATCATCATTAAATACTTTTTGTTCTTAGCGATGGAGACATACTCCTCGTATATACCAGCAGTAATGTATATTAGAAAATAGCCTGAGGTGGACATGGAATTGTTTGGAGCAGCAACAACAACATCAGTTATGGTGCTGAAATTCCCACTTCCGTCCTGGTTTACTATCACAACGTCCCTCACCAGAACCTGGTCATCATCATCTTGTTGCTGGAGTATATTTCTCCTACTAACAGTCTCCAAAATTGCTTGGTTTTGTGCAGACATTTTTAATGGCAAGTGACCATTTTGGAAGGCTAGCTGTTTTTGGTTTTGTTGCTTAGTTTCTTCTGTGTGCCCTTTGACATTATTCTTCTCGGTCCTTTTTTCTACTGGTGTGATAGTGCCTTATTATTCAGCATTGTGGATTTGTTGGCTACGAAAATCAAGAAGCGCACTGTAGTCCAGTAGGGAGAAGCGCGTTGTAGTCCAGTACGATAATCAGTGCCTTATTATGAGCTTCCTAGTATCTATTTTTTTCCTAGTCTACCTTTAATTGGTAAAACTGAATGCATAGTTTTTTCAGTTGATAATTCTTCTATTCAACAGGAACCGGAAAAAAATATAGTAGTAGATGAGAGTTAAAAATGATTTACGTTTTATTCTTTATACAAAGTGTCCAAACAAATACCCTATGACCAAGAGCGTGCTTCATTTTGCACTGGAACATAAGCATACCATGTTGTTGTTTGTTCATAATAGTTGGTCTCTTGAATGGTAAATCTCGAATTGTCGTATCGGGATTTATCGAACCAAAGTAAGATTAATTATCCCAAAGCTTTTCTAATTAATTTTTTTTAATATTGTTGTAGCCTTGTTGATGTTGTTGGATAATACCTTGTGAATTTAGACTGCTTTTAGGGTAAGCGATTTAACTATTGCTCATATAAAATTATATATGTTATTTTACCAATAGTTATTTATTATTTTAAAAACTTCTGGACTTACAAATTTTGAAGATTGAAGCTACAAGTCAAGATGCAAGTTTAGAAGATGCACAAGCTATTTTTTTTTTTTGCTAAAAATGTTATGCAAAACTTGATATCATAGTCTAGCTCAGGATGTTAGCTAAGTTTTTTTGTTGAGGTGTTGAGAAAACATAGAAAGTAATATCATCATGGGATTTGAATTTGATATATTATCTTTTTATATCTGGATTTTTCTATACCAATTTGATATTTATTGATAAAAATTACTTTTTCTTGTATTGAGCTTTTAGGACTACTCATGGTTATTAATAGACCATGAATATGATCGCTAAATTACAAAATTATTTTAAATAGGGACGTCGTCTCTAAATATAATCTAGGACCAGTTAAAGGTTGGTCGCAAAAATGGTTTAACGACCAGATGTTTTGTCGGTCTCTAAGAGATAATTTAGGACCAGTTGGAGTTGGTCGCTAAAAAGATTTAACGAAGGGAATGTATATATTTTTCATCGTCTATTAGGGACGAGAAATGTAGTCTCTAAAAGTTATTCACAACCAGGTTTTCTGTCCGTCTCTAAAAGACAATTCAAGACCAGATATAGTTGGTTGCTACAAAGATTTCACGATGGGAATAAATATTTTTCATCGCCTACTAGGGACGAGAAATGTAGTCTCTAAAAGTATTTCACGACCAATTTTTTTGTCCGTCTCTAAAGTGATTTAATGACCAGGTATTAAGACCCGTTGTTATTGACATTTAGCGACGGAGGCTATTACGACGGGTTACGACCAGCCTTTTCCCTTCGTAATTTACCTTTTTAGGACAAGATTTCAACTTTTAGGGACCAGATTTCCCTTCCTTAAAGGCTGTTTTTCTTGTAGTGTGCCGAGGGCAGCCTGATTAACCGATTCTTTTCGAAGTTTTTTCGAAGTAATTGAAGGCATGTAAATTTATGGTGATGGTCCGGCGTCCCCGAGTCACGTTAGTTTGGCCAGAGCCTTGTGACCGTAGTCATTGTGTTTGGCCGTAGCTTTAGATCCCGAGTGTAGTAGCTTCGGTGTTTATATCGAGGGTATGCCTTTTTGGGGTCTTAGTAGTTCGAATATATATCCTTAACTTTATGATCGGGATTATGCCTTTTGTAAGGTCTTATAAATTTGAACATGCCTTACTTAAGGTCTAACAGATAGGTTACTTGGTACAAGTATAATTCATACCTTGCTTGAGGTCTTACAGATTCTTGGTACAACTATGATTCATGCCTTGCTTGAGGTCTTATAGATTTGGTATTGCCTTATGGAGGTCTTATGAGCTCGTGGTTGCCCGCACGGGGCCCTATAGCCTCAAGTTTTTAACAGCTCGATGTGTGGCAGTTGGCGATAGTCCCCGAGACTTCGAGCACTTTTTTGGCTCTGGAGCCGTTCTTTGTAAACTTTGATGTTGCCTTGTTGAGGGCTTACGAGTTCGAAGTTCCAACTTGGAGGTCATACCGCTTTGAGTTTTTTATGTTAGTCCCCGAGTGTTCAGGAAATTTTGGTGTTGGAGCCGTTTCTTGTAAAAATAGCAGATTTCTTTGAAGCGCGAAGTGTTTTTTGTAGTAAAAGATACTCCTTTGATTACTTGGTACAAGTATACATGTTTTCGTCATCAAGGGTTCAATTATTCTATACGGACACGGTTCATTCGACCGTTTGGCCTGATATATCATTTTCCTATCGAGACCCTTTTTGGCTCATCTTGTCTTTTTCGAGAAGGTGATCTCTGGGGGGATGCTCCTGGTGTTCGAGGTTGATTGAAGAGAAGCCTTGAATACTTGTTAAGTTCTCCTTAGGTAACATAGAGATGTTGCCTCGTTAAAAACCTTGCCGGTAAAATCCTTCTTGGGATAAAATCCGATCGAAGGAAAATAGTGCAACGCATGCTTTAAAACCTAAGGTTTCAAGCTGGAGAGTGCTTCGATTGTTCTAACCAGACTCCTGCACATAGGTTAGTGTAACACATAAATGAAAAAATGAGACGACTATACCTTAGTAGTGATGGCGCTTCGAGCCTCGATATTTTTCAAATGTTTGCTCCGGGGACACGATACGGTCCTTTGCTAATTGACTTGGGTGCAGCCGAGAATGTAGCTCGTGATTGCTACTTCGTTGTTTGCTTATCCTTTGGCTCCTTAGATATTGAAGGTGTCGATGTCGGTGACACATCGTGCACCGCGAATATCTCTCTTGCTGCATGTTGTTCCCCGTATACAGTTTGTATTCCAACCTTTGTCGAAAACATCATCATTTGATAAAGGGTTGATGGTACTGCTCTCATGTAGTGTATCCATGGCCTTCCGAGCAAGGCATTGTACCTCATGTCCCCTTCGATGAAATGAAATTTGACTTTTTGGGTTGTGCCGGCCACGTTGACTGGAAGGGTGATTTCCCCTTTCGTTGTCTCGCTCGCCATGTTGAATCTGTTGAGGACTCACGAGGCAGGTACGATCTGGTTGAGTATTCCGAGATGATCCACCACCCTCGATCTGATAATGTTGGCCGAGCTACCTGGATCCACAAGCACACGCTTAATTTGAAATGTATTTACAAGAAAAGAAATTACCAATGCATCGTTATGAGGCTGAGACAGGATCTTAATGTCCTCATCGCTGAATGTGAGAGCGTCCTCAGGTACGTGACCTCGAGTTCGCTTCTCCTTGGTAATGGATACTTTTGTTCTCTTGACAACGGGTTCTTGCGGGATGTCAATTCCTCCAACGATCATGTGAATGACATGTTGTGGCTTATTTGTTTCATTTTTCCTATTTGTTTCTCTTTCCCAAAATTGATTCTTGGCTCGGTTGCTGAGGAATTCTCGGAGGTGCCCTTTGTTGATTAGTTGGGCTACTTCTTCTCGGAGCTGTCTGCAATCTTCGGTCATATGACTGTGTGTGCCGTGAAATTCACACACCAAGTTAGGGTTCCTTTGCGACAAATCTGATAGTACGGGTTTTAGCCACCTGGTGTCTCTGATTTTGCCGATGGCGGATACGATGTCTGAAACATCAATGTTGAAGTTGTATTCAAATAATCGAGGTGCCTCCACTGGTCCTGTATGTCTGTCGAATCCTGCTCTGCTCACGAGTCCCTGAGGATTCTGACCTCGATCTGCCCTTCGATCATTTCGGGGTATGTTATGCCTTTGGGCGTTTCTTCGATCTTTAGTATATGGGTTGTACCTTTCCTTATTTAACTTTGGTTCCTATACCAGGATCTTGTTGGAATATACTAAGCCCGTGGGGCTCCTAGTTGGTCGTCCTCGACCCTAATCTTCGACTGATATCGGTGTGGACATCCGACCAAGTCACGATAGGATATTCAACCAATTTCTGCTTTAGTTGCTTTGAAGCTACCGAGCTTTGTTTGTTCAAACTTTGGGTAAAGGTCTGCACTGCCCAGACATCGGAGACTGGTGGTAATTTCATTCGCTCCATTTGGAAGCAAGATACAAACTCCTGCAACATCTTGTTTTCTCTTTGTTTGATTTTGAAGACGTCAGATTTTCTTATAGCAACATTGATGGAACCGGCATGTGCCAATAAAAAAGAATCTGCCAGCATGGAGAATGAGTCTATCAAATTCGGGGATAGGTTATGATACCTCACATGGCCCCTTTTGAAAGTGTTTCCCCAAATTTCTTCAATAGGACGGATTCAATTTCATCGTCCTTCAGGTCGTTTCTCTTTACGCCACAAGTGTAAGCAGTGACATGCTCATTGGGATCCGAGGTTCCATTGTATTTTGGGAGATCGGGCATTCTGAATTTCTTTGGTATGGGCTTCGGAGCCCCACTTGACGGGAATGGCTTTTGTACAAATTTCTTTGAATCAACACCCTTCACGATCGGGGGTACGCCCGGGATCTGATCGATACTTGAATTGTAGGTCTCCACCTTTTTATCATTAGCTTCTATCTTCTTTTTGCCTGATTCAATCCTCTTTGTGAGGTCCTCGAGCATCTTCATAATAGCGTGGTCGGTTGCTGACCCGTTGTCGCTCAATCTTTCTGGCACCTGTTCGGCTTGAGGGGCCATTTCTGGTGCTGTTGTGCTTGGAGTTTTTTGGTGGCTTTGTATTTGAGCAATCGCCAGCTATTGTGTGTGTAACATCTCAAAAATGACGTGATGGCTAACCTCTTGTTCCTCCCGAGCTGGGGTTTTCTGAGCTTCTTGTTGGTTTTTTGGCGTATACTTCTGTTAGTGTGGGAGATTATATCGAAATGTTGGGCATTGCTTGAGACCACATCCACGGGGATTGGATCTGCTGCATCCTCAGGGTTTCGCAGTGGTACACCGATGCCTGGAATAGCTACATCATTCTCTCCATGGTCTTCAAGACCGTTGTTTTCATGTGCATTCACTGAGTTAGACATTTTAACCTGAAACCAAAGA